AGCAAAGCGCACTGCAGGGCTGCAGGGCTGCAATGCAATCCTTGTAAAGCACGTCCACTGAAGTGAAATGAAAAAGAGAGACCTTTTGTAAAAAGATCTAATTTGTTTAACCAGTCACTAAATTTCTATGGTCAAAGCGTGGACAAACATGGACAACCATCGGTGTAGCTTTTGGTGTAGCTTATTTTGGAAAGCACTAAGAAGAGAAGGGACTGTGGGATGTTGAGGTACTGGCTCTGTGACAGGTTGGTATTTGCAAACTATTTGGAGTAGGCTATGTGACTTTTGCATTTACTGTACTTAAATATTATTAAGTTGGAACTGTGGAAAGGTCTATATTTTTGTCAATATTTCTGAACAACAGCCTGCAGCGAGCTCACCTGTAGGCATTTCATGGTCTTTCAATAATAAACATGACAGTATTGACAATGGAGCGGCCAATACTAGGTTGTGAGCTGCATTTTGATTTCTAATAGTTTATTTCTTATTTCCCCATTTTAATTGTACTTAGATTAAAATGGTGAAATTCCTCTTTCTTATTTCACTGTTTTATTTGACTGTTTACTTGCTACTTGAATCTGCTATCTTTACACCACACACACACACACACACACACACACACACACCCCTACGCTTCTGCTGCAAACACACTGTATGTGTCTGCTCTGTTGACTTTCTACAGCAGTATGTGTTATAAAGTTGCTAAAAAGGACACAGAACTCTTGAATTTTTCCACCCACCTTTTTTCCAGCAGCAGGTGCACCACATGTGGAGGAGGCTTGTTAATAACTTAGCCTATCGAAACAATCGAAACCAACGTACCGAATCACATCTGCACTGGTGTGTTCACTGTTTCTTTACCGGGTCCGTGCTTGTAAAATATCCACCATGTCCGCGTATTGAAACGTGATACCAGATATCTCTCTCTCTCTGTTTTTCTCTGCAAAACGCAAAAATGCATAGCCAAATATACCTGGGTGGTAACTATTATACCTGGGCAGCTCGTCAAAGTAAAGTCTATTTGTGGGAAACACTGATTTGAATAACTTGGGTCTCATTTAAGAGTTTAAGTATCCTATGAATTTTAAATGTTTTCACAGAGGTTTTTCCATCTTGTCAGACTACCAGGGAGGACAACCCTGTCTTCTGTCAATCTTGTCTGTCAGCTTTTGTGTATAAGTAATTAGCTTTGCCTAATAAAGTTAGGAGAAAAATGTAATGTTTAGATAATGTTCTCTGTCAACTATTCCCCAATCCAGGAAAATCCATGACATCATTAAAAGGAAAATGTGCTTTTCATATTTTATGACTTATCTACAATATTACAGTGTTGGACGTTCTGAACGCTCTGTTTTCATCGGTGCTAGACGGAGCCGGTTTTCAATTTTTTACAGTAAATACGTGGCAAAAAAAGGTGTCAAAGTACTGTAAATACTGCTAAATAGAAATTACAGTATGTTACAGGATATATTTTACAGTTTTTTGCAGTATATAAATTACAGCAATTTATTGTTGTTTTAACAGAAAAACAGCAATTACTTGTAATCCAATATACAGTATAATATTATCTTACTGCCAGTAATAGCTGTTAAATCGTCGTAGAATTCCTTTTACAGTAAATTTTTGTGTTCTACCTAGTAGCTTTGCAAATTATGCATACGGTGAAATGTTTTAAATGAAAACCGGCTTGCTCTTAATCCAAACTCCATCAACATTGCATTAGATTATCTTCACCTTTTAAATAAACCTAGAATCAAAGCTGCAACAAAACATTATTGAAATTCTATACAGTTGTTCAATGCATACTATATGTTTTCAGGACATGATGTGACTTTACTTTTTCTGAAAAACTCCTAATATCAGTGTCTGCCTACATTAACATAAAATATGTTAACTTGAATATTTAACAAAAATGCAATTCAAATCTGTCAAGCATTAATACTGATTATAAAATTAAAAGAGACCATATCACTAACTATCTTGGAACTATTTTTTTTGTGAAAAACAGTCCTGATATGCACCAGAGCCTTTTAACAAATCACACCAGGGCAGAGGCCACCTAGAGGCTCCACTGATCATTGGTCCATTGTCCGAATCTTTTGCATTTGATTCACACTCAAAGCCATTTAAAGTCCATAATTCGCCTAAGGAGAAAGGAGACATATGACAAGAGATCATTCTTCATCTTCTCATGCACCTTCTCACTTCTATGACTGACCAGCTTTGCCATCTTGGTGCCGTTGGTTGGGTTGATGCCAATGAAACATCTGAAATCGCATAATCACAGGAAAAGAAACTGTGCTAACAGCTGCTCTACAAGAAACAGTAAAATCCATCAGTTTGACCCTACCACAGCAGTAGGGTTAGCCGGTCGACAAGCAAGGAGTCACTGACTTAGGTTTAGGTACTAACATTAACATACAGTTAAACATTGTAAAATGACTAATAAGTTACCTCATATTTCTACTATATGCACTACAGCAATTTGTTACAGTGCACAGCTCAGCTGCAACAACAGCCTGGTAACATGCTTCAGGTCTTGGCCAATCAGAAGACAGTGGGCTTTGAAAGCGGGGGGGCCTTAAAGAGACAGGAGCATCTACAGCTTGTTTCAGACAGAGGCTGAAATGAAGGCCTACATGAAGAGACAGTATAACGTAGGACTGGAAATGCAGTACAATAGGTCTCCTTTAAACCGCAGAAGTTGTACAAAGGAGCTTGAGGTGTATGATTGAGTAAACAAAACACAACTCCTGGGTCCCACTTGTTGTGGTCTAAACTTCTAAATCACTTGGTTAAGGAAAGATGGTGCTTTCGGCTTAATATTGACAAGTCAACATGTCCCATCTTAACTGCAAGTCAGCATTGACTTTTTAATAACATCATTAGCAACGTGGTGCTGGGGATGGCTGGGAATGTCTGTTACACTCCAGACTCAAATTTCTTGAGAAATATTAAGTGGGTTAGTTAATCTTACAGACTTTGGTGAATCCTTGCTATTTCCTCTCTGATGTTGACAGTTTTGGTTTTAAGTGAGATATCTTGACTGTAGTCAGCAGGTCAATTCAATCAGTTATCCAGCAAAACATCCAAACAGATGTACAAAATTTGATAAAGACATTCATGGTTTCCAGACAATACATCCCAGTGACTTTAATGATCTCCTGACTCTTTTTTCTAGTGCCAACACCAGGTTGAATTTTGTCTTAGATTGGAATGTCCCAACAACTTGGCACAGACAAGTTAGCCTTTGTATGTAGATAGTAAATAGTAGGATTTTGTGATGCCATATTGCTGCGGCTTTAGACTCTTAGGCCTTTTTTCAGCCAAGATCATCGTCTTTCACTAACATTAAGTCCTTTCAAATGCTTGAATACAGCCATGAGAGTGGTATTAATGCTCTACTTGCCAAGAGTATGTTAGGGAAATCATATTAACTATTTGTTGTTGCAACGTTTTGCAGCATTACGGTTCCTACAAAATGTATTTTCTAATGCAAATGAAAATGTTAATGCAAATAATTTGCATATGAAGGTCTTTTTTGGAGACTTTGATGATATTCTGGCATTACAATTGTCTTAATTTAAGTATATTAAATATTAAAAAATTTGCCTTCACAAACCCAAACTGTATCAACTGATCAACAGATTATATTGAAAGCTCATTTGCTTACAAACTAAAGGATCAGAAGCCATAACCTAACCTAATTTACTCAAGCAGTAATAGAGATGATTACTCACTCACCACGTTGATTTAACTAAGACTGATAGTGGTTTTGGCTGGCTCTTTATTTCCCATCACCCAACATCTCTCACTTCTGCTAACATACAACCGGAGGGGCTTTCAGCTCTCGTGAGCTATGGTTTAAGGACATGCAGAACAAAATGCAGATTGTAAAGCATAGCTAATCTACAGCCATTTCAATGAAGAAGGGATTAACCAGCAGTCCTTGCAGAAATAGGGGTACTGTGAAAAGAAGAGGTATACAGTATTCTTCAATAGAGGCAGACAGATGATGACTTGAGACAAAGACAGCGGGGAGCATTTTTGGACCTGAAGGTTTTTTTAGTTATTGAAAGAGCTAGAATATTTTGATCCAGTTTGACTAAACAAAAAGGATGTGACATTATGAAATGCTATGGATGGATTTTTTTGGACTATTTCGGTTTGACAGCTATTCATTGTGTGTACTCGCTGTGTTTTTCAAAATCCCTTGTATGGTGTAAGCGTAATCAGCTCTAGATCCCTGTGTGGAGGCTTTGGGAAGCCCACCTCGGCTTTCTGCCTGACTTGCAGCGTAGGTGGTTATCTGACTGTCCGTGTATTCACTGCCACCGCTCTCTTCCCTTATCAGTAGTCTGAAGCTTGCATGCTCAATCGCCTGATTTGTCGAGGGTGACTGCAAAAGATTCTGATAGGCACTCTGCAAATCACCCAGTTGATCTAAAATATCGACCAGCCACAAAAAGTCATTACACACAATAATGGCGGGCAGGACCTTGAAGATGTGACTTAATTAGGTTTCAAATGGCTTCAAAAATGCCCCCCTAGAGAGTCGTGCACTCTTGGATTTTTCTCCACGATTACAGGTGTAGAAGTGAGGCACACTGCTACTGACAACACCGCTGCTTCTATAGGTTATAGCAGCAGCACAGAGCTCAGAGATGTATGATCATACAAAATCTGAGGCAGACAGAAAGCATATAATGCTGCTGGAGCAGCAAATGACATGTTTTTATAATGAAATTTGGAAAATGATTGAATGTAAATGGTTCTGCAGGCCTTGATAGAGCTCTATACACAAACGTGAGTGACTGTTCTGCCATTGTTTCTCTAAGATAGTCAGAACATTATAACTGCTGAGAGAAAAATAAATCTCTATTAACCTGCAACCTAGAACTTTATACATGTGAAATCATTTAATTTTAGATTGTTCTATGTCTAAGTAGTTAATGGTAGTAGTATTTTCTTACTCACATTGCCATTCTGTCTCCCTACAGAAAACCAAGATCTCCACGTATGATAAGATGTGGGAGTTCATGAGCAGTCGGAGGCATTCAGTGATGGTGAAGAACATTGAGGAAGGCATTCATCGTGTGCTCACCTCAGACTACGCATTCCTCATGGAGTCCACCACCATTGAGTTTGTCACGCAGCGCAATTGCAACCTTACCCAGATTGGAGGCCTCATTGATTCCAAAGCCTACGGGGTTGGCACTCCAATGGGTATGTATGCTACAATTATAACACACCATGTTTTGCTGAGGCAAACATAAGCAAAACATAAGCTTTTATGCCTACAGGCTACTGAAAGTTATTGTGCTGTGAAATCATAAATTCTTAACATGACAAAGTGATGCAGTTTTAAGTGTTGCAGTGAGAGGTGCTGTAACAGGCAACAACAGGATGAAGGAGTCTTTGAATTCTTCCTTTTGGTCCTTCACAAATGTCATGGTAGCCAAGTTCAGTGCTGGAATGTAACTAAGTACATTTACTCAAGTACTGTACAAATTCAAGGTACTTGTAGTACTTGAGTATTTCCATTTTATGCTACTTTATAATTCCATTCCACTAAATCTCTGTGGCAAATGTTGTACTTTTCACTTCACAACATTTGTCTGACAGCTTTAGTTACTAATTAGTGTGACAGCTGTTTTTCTGACCATTCTCTGTGAACCCTCAAGATGGTTGTACGTGAAAATCCCAGTAGATCAGCAGTTTCTGAAATACACAGGGCAACTTTTTTGAGCAATGTTGCTGGGCAGTCTTGCTGGTGGCAAGTCCGACTATGTTTTGAACGGATAGCGGTGGCGCAGTGATGGGGGAAGGGGATTACGGTAGTAATCTTTACTCATTACAATTGACGGCAACATTGCCCAGCACCATTGCTCCAAAAGTTGCTCTGTGTATCATCAGCTTAAATCCACTTTCTTCCCCATTCTGATGCTCGGTTTGAACTTCAGCAGGTTGTCTTGACCACGTCTACATGCTTAAATGAATTGAGTTGCAGCCATGTGATTGGCTGATAAGCTATTTGTGTTAACAACTGAACTGGTGTACCTAATAAAGTGACCGGTGAGAGTTTATTTACAAGCAAAACAGTTGTGTGCCAGGCAGTTATGGTCATCGAGTGCCCTCTATTGGTGCTTTGGAGGCATTACATGTGATTTCAACTAGCCAGATCAAAGGAGAAAGTTTGTTTGTTTGTTTTTTGAACCTGTCCCGTCCTGCAGCCTCCTGGTTTACAGTATGAGGAGCTGGATGCCATGTTGTGCCAGACAGATTTGCTCAACAGCAGACAACCACCTGAAAAACAGCAATAAACAGCAGACATAACAAACAACTGAGGGAAATGACAAGGACAAGCAGTCAAGCAAAATAAATAAACACAGCACAGCCATGAGGGCCGGAATAATAACCATTCATTTAAATAAATAACTTAATGAAAAGCTTAAAGAATAATGCAACTTCCTGTTGACAACTATGGGCAACCTCAAATTGTGTGCGTGCGTGCGTGCGTGCAGATTTTATAAAATGTTATAAACTCTATTGTTGCAAATTAAAAGCTGTGTAAACTGTATTGTGGTGCGTTTACGCTACAGTACATCCCTGAGGGTAACCCATGAGGAAGAATACTGAAAAGGGACAATCCTGGGGCTATGTCCAGCAGGCAGAAGATGGTGAAACATAAATAAAGGGAGGAATAGGGAGGAAGTGCTATATTTGATTACAGGGACTCAGCAGCATATTGTCATAATCCTGTTACAAACACCGTTAGAAGTTATTCTGCAAGTTAAATACCTGCAGCATTACAACTGGCAGACAATTTAACATGATGACCTCACGCAAAAGGCTGCTCTTCATTCATTTTCATTCACAGTGAGAGAGAGAGAGTTGTAAGCATTCCTACAGGGTTTATGTCTCCTGCAAACAGGGCTTTTGAGCAACATGCTGTTTAAATGAATGCCAGTTTAATAAACCTGAAGCTTGCTTACTCGAAAGACATATTTAATACCTGCCTGGAATATAGTAGATACCATACTACAGGAAATAGAAGATGACGCTAAAGTTAGACTAATGGTATTCATTCGATAGAGAATTGCTGAAATTCTGAAATAGTCTTTATATTTATTTATTTACAGATGTTTGATTGCAGTTTATACAAATAGTTTTACATTATAAGCAGGCTGTACAACAGATGACTGAGAGTTCAACATGATCCTTCCCACACTGGCCTGGATGAACGCATCGTTCCGTGGCCTGTCGCTGGTCTTTAGCTCTGATTGTCAAAATGAAAACATGACACATGTTTTTGAAACATTGTCAGATTGTTGTGAAATTATCTAAAAAATATAGTTTATAGAATCAAGCATCATTACAAAGTTCCGGAGATTCAAAAAGGCTAGTCACTTCATCATCTGATTGCTGTATCTGGTCAGGTTCATGTGAGTCTCAGTGGATATTTTCCAGGCTTGAGTCAGAGCATTGTGCAGTTATGTGTCCCTTATTAATGTTTCTCCAACCATTTAAAGGCTACGCTTCAGGTTATTCTATATTTTTGTTATTGTGAACAAATCCCATGAAAAGACCAAACCCAATAATGCGTTAGTGTGGCTCTCAGCTTCAAGCCCATTGGTTCCTAATAAATACATGAATCTATAATTTCCTAAAAGAGTGAGCCACTGTAGTTTTTAGCAAATGCAACTCAAACTAGAGAAAATAGTTCTTCAGGTCAGGACTATTCCCTTTTGCTGTATTATTTCAAGTGTTGCTCTATTACTGTGTATTTTGGTTTACAGACCTCCAGAGCAAGAACAATTTTATTTCTGAACCTTTATGTATTGCTTTATCCAGGTATGAGTGGAGGTAATTTTAATATCAATCTATTTTGCTATTCATGTCTTTAGTGAGTCTTCTACTATACTATGATCAGATAAAGATCCTTCAAGCATATCCTCGACTTGGATACTTTCTTCTGTTTTTCTGCCCAGAGAATGTAGACTTATACAGTGAATGAATGAATTCAGTTAAATTAAATTTTATTATGAAAGCAGAAATTCCTACAGAGACCCAACAATTCCCACCATTGGCAAGTATGTGGTGACAGCGGCAAAGACAAACTCCCTTTTAGGAGATAGAGAAACCTTTAATAGGACCGTGACTCAGGGTGGGTGGCCATCTGAGGGAGAGAGAGAGAGAGAGAGAGAGGGTGGGGGTGGAGCCGCCAACACAATATCTAAAAAAAAAAATCCAATCAGTAAAATCATAGTGGTATAGAAATTGAAAAATGGGACTGATGGTTATAGTAATATTATTGATGGTAATAATAGGACTAGTAATTTAAATTGTAGCAGCGGGTGTTGTCCAGGAACATGGGGGGCAGCAGGTGACCCGCAACCACAGATCCAGACTCTTCAGCTCCAGAACCAGAAACACCTGCAGAAAGCTATGAGAGGAGAGGGACAAGACAGTATTTTTAGTTGTTGCAACTTTTTACTTTAACTTTGCTACATTTCAAAGCCAAATATCGACTATTTACTCCGTTACATTCTTGCACCAGTATTAGTAGCCTGTTCAGCGCACCTGAGTGGAGCAGCACTGAAAAACAAACGTAAAACTGATAAAGCCGACTCGGCTCGAATCATGTGTTCTTTTCTCTCACAGTCTGATGTCAGCAGATAACAGTAGGCTAATGTTAATGTGCAGCTGCAGTGAATCTCCCAGGTCAAATACAGGCAGCCTCAACCAGAGATGTGCAGCCAGCATCAGATACAAGCAGCTCAGACCCTAATGGAACAGTTGCTGCTCCACAAAATGGCCCCCAGTCTTATCAGACTTTATGAGGTCTGAGTTAGAGGTTTCTTTTCAGGCTTCTCACAGAGGGAGGATTGTAGTGAGAGCTTTGTAGTGTCAGGTATGACTGTGCAGCAGCTCTGTTTTTGGACTGTGAGTCACAGCCAGTCTACCAGCTACTAGCCACTGGGTGGTTTTGCGATATAAACATCTGAAAACTGAAGGTAACTTTGCTGTGTTTGGGACTGTGAGCTGCACATTATGAGAGGTGCTGAAGTTCACGTGTAGATTTTTGGTGAGATTGTGAATTGAGAAGTAGTTAGTAATTAGTTTTGGTTTCTTTCAGCCTCCTTGTCTCATCTGATGTGCATGTCTCATCTTAACATACCCAAAGTCCCAAATGGGGTTCTGTGTCTGTCAGATGGTCTGAAGGGGATACTACCACAACAGCAGAACAGTAACTCAGACTTATCCTCCTCACATAAAGGAAATATCCACTTGTGTTCTTGCGACTCAATTTTCCTTATTATGATTCACTATAACTTATAATGTTGTATTCAGACCTGTCTTGAGTTAATTTAAAAAGATAGAGTGCATTTTGTAAGATCAATAGATTTTGATGTGTAGTATTTTCATTTTTGATTATTTAAGTATTTTGAAAACCAAGTACTTTGACTTTTACTTGAGTAGTACCTTTATCTTCAGAGGTGTTTTGGCCCAAGTACAATGGGTTTGACATAAGAAAATTGCAGGTCATCCAGGTTTTCATATCCTGAATGCATGTTTGAAGTTTAGCTAACTGACTGGTGTCATCTAGCTTGATCGATAGAAGTAAGTGAGTATCATCTGCATAACAATGAAAGTCTTTCCTGATAATATTGCCTAAAATAAACATATATAGGGTGAATAGGACTGGTCCCAGAACAGATCCTTGTGAAACTCTGTGACTACCTTAGGCATTCATAGAGGATTCATCCTTAACACAGGTCGGCTGAGTCAGTGAACTCTTTTAAGTCCCTTCTTAAAACATACTTTTATAGGAGAGCTTTTCCCGATCTTATTTGACTTTATTTTATCCCTTTTATTTTATTGTATTTTACTAATTTTATATAAAATTTTCATGCTCATGTTTTTTTTTTGTATTATTCTTTACACTTGTTAAAGCACTTTGTAACTTGTTTTTGAAAAGTGCTCTACAAATAAGGATTATTATTAACACGTAATCAAACTGAGATTGATCTGATAAATAGGACTTCAACCAGCTTAGAGCACAGGAACTATGCTCTGCTCTTTGCCAATTCAACGTTCCAGTCTCTTTAATAGGATATGATGGTCAATGGTATCAAATGCAGCTCTAAGATCTGACAAGACAAGTACAAAGACAAGTCCTTTGTCTGATGCAATTTGAAGATCATTTGTAATTTTCACAAGTG